TAGAGCGCGTACCGCGAGAGCTTCCCCTATTGTGCCCCCTCGGCTTTGGGTCTCGATAAAAATTAATATTAGGACCCGTGTTTCTTCGCACAGAAAATATGCCGCGCACCCTTCTCTTGTAATAGAAGGGATTGTTCCTATATTGGCTTTCACATATCAGTACCGGATCGACCGGTCTGCAATATCGTCGCTTATTGATAGCCGTTGAAAAATTATTCGAATCAGTTCTTTGATGTCGACTTAGTCGATTTTTCACGTGTACAAAGAGTTAACGCAATATTACACGCTATATTTCATAGTTCGTATGTAAGTCTTGGAATATATCTGCATATAAATGTGTTGCGTAAAAACGTTGCTTCTCTGTAAATATATAAAGAGCAAAAAGGTTGATCGAAAAAAGAAAGAACGAACAAGTAAAAAAGGATAGCTCTTTATTCATGTGAGCATTATAACATTTGCATTCAGCCAAGCTCGAAATAATTTTTCTGAAAGAACGAAAGACTACTACAGAGGAAACATCTATTCGATAAAGCCGACGTTTCCTCACCGATAGGCTGTTTCTTCTCATTGTTCGTGAAAAGCGCAATCGCGATTCCGATTAATCTCCGAACCGGTTGTAAGGGCCGACGCGAGATTGTCTTCCCTTGTAAGAACGGTGTGGAAGGGACTCGATATTCCAACCTCGTCGCTCAGGTTTCCCGACGCGGAATTATTCCGAGGGGTAGCGGCGCGAATTAAGGCTTCTTGCGGCATAAAAAATCTGTGTAATCAATTATCGAACCTTTTACCCCATATTTCACGGCCAATGAGTCGCCACTCCCGCCGGCGCCTTTAAGCGAGACTTACCGACCCTCTCCCTCGACACTTTTTAGCTGCGATCCTTGGTCCTTCCTTCTCGCGGCCTCACCCTTATCTTCTTCCTGCTCCTCCGTTGGCTCCTCGAAGAGGAGAGGGATAGCTCAGTCTTTGTTTGAGATATCAAATATTTATTTTCTTAAATAACGCAAAAACTCGGTAAGGGGCGGATTGCCAGCATTTTTTGCCTTAATAAATTATCAGCGATTATTGGCCGCATTTGCTTAAGCAAGGCGATTCCTTCTTTTCTTTCTTCTTTTTTTACAACAGATTTCGTATTCTCTTCCTTGGTTAAGTCAATCGAAATCGATTTAACTGTCTGACAACGATAAATACGCGTTGGAGTGTGTTTTAGAAACTTTCTATTAATGTCTTAAAATATGAAGAAAATGATAGAATCCTGCAGTTTTTTATACAAAAATTAATTAAAAGAAATTTCCGACAATTGAGATAAATATATCTTTTACATATCCTGATTAAGTAATTTAAGTTCGCTGAAACGAATTAATTTTACTAAAGAAATTAATTTAACAGACTAGTTTATTTTTTAATTATTATACATGGCGAATTAATGTGGAAGTAGAATGTGTATATTGATTTCTCTCAAGTCTCTTAGAGATTTTTCAAACCCATATGTCTCGTCTAATTATTCACGAAACACAGTCGCTCGAGAAAGTCTCATCGAAGGGAAGTGCGAAGGGATACATATTACGTAAAGGATAGCAACGAGAAAGCTCTTTGACATAGCATTGATGTATTGTTAATATAAGCGAGTAAAACTCAAAGGAGATACATCTTGCGTAACGAATTCTTGTTCGTATATAAACGCATACATTACAATATACAGATGCGCAATAATAAAATAAACAACAAAGAAATTTCAGTATAAAATAGACACTCTCTTAAATAATTTCTATATTATTACTTCTTATTAAATTAATATTAAAGACTACAACATTAAATTTATCTTTCTTTTAATTAGTATTATAATTTTACATTTTATATATTATTATAACAATTTAATTATTTATATACAGAATATATATTTATACATACATTTATTCATAGAAATGCTTATTATATAGATCAATTAAAATTTGAGAGCACATTCTTTCATACTTCAAACATACTCGATCGGAATTAATTCGCCGTCATAATAATTCATCATAAGAATTCCGCGCTTTCTTTCGCCTTTGTTTTATGCCGACTTGATCTTCCAGGCAGATCTTTTAAAGGTTTTTCGTTCACAGCGATGCAAAGTGAGCACGAAAACAAACGTTATGACCCTAACTGAGGAAGAGAGAAGGAACAGCGGTGCGCGTGTACAATATATATACCTATACGCGTGCGGTCTAGGAAAACAAGCTGCAAAGTGCCAGATGAAAACTGTGGAAAAACTCGGCTCTATAGTATATAGAATGCCCTGCGTTTTGCCGCGAGCGGATTTTCCGGCGGGAGAATTGAAGAGGTGGTCCGCGGGGAAGGATAGCGAGCGGGGTCGACCGTGAGAGACGACAACGTAGACGATGTAGACGGCGACAAGGACGATAGAGGGGCTAAAAAGCACTTCTAATGGCATTGTGCGTGTTCAAACAAACACGGAATGCTTAGTAGTTTCTAAAATTGTGGGGAAGTCTTTGCCTTAGCTTACTCGGTCCTCTCCATTTTTCTTCCTCTTGCTATTTCCCGGTTACGTATGCGAATAATAGTTTATATAATTATGGATAATGATAGTTATAAATTATAGTACATTTAATGTTATTAATATATGTATAAAATTTATACTTTAGACTGTAATATACATATCTCTCTAAAAAAAATTTGAGAAAAATTTTTAAAAATTTATTTTACTTTTCTAAAAATTGCTAAGTAAGTTTTCTTAAATTTAAGAAGATCAATAAGTTTAAAAATCATATACACCGTTATCTATCTCGTTCTTCGCATCGACTATTGTACAAAGTACGTCATATATAGACTTTTCATTAATGCCTGACTGAATAAATGCCACCGTGCCCCTCCCCTGAATTCTTAATGCAGCAAGCTCGCTGAAAGTACTCCCGGGCCTTCAAAATATCTTTAAGAAGTTTAAAGTCTTCCCTCGATAGCATGTAAATATTGTATGTAAAAGCGACATCAAAGAGATTCTTCTACGGTATAATACCTTAAATTTCGGCACAAGGAGAGATTAAGCAACAACGTAAGAAGAGAGATAAACAATCTTAAAATGCCTATCATAAAAATTTGTGCGAAGGATTAATTTTCTATTAAAAGAATCCTATCTCTGCGACTAAAAGCATGTACTTATTGATATTCTAATAAGAAAAATATAATAAGAAAAAAGAAAATGTATATTATGAGAACTTAATATACGTTTGCAGTAAAGTATCCTGTATTAATTGTAAAAATAAATTAAAATGAAAGACACAATCATAGAAATATATGCTTGCTATATTAAAAATAAATTCAAATTTAATTATAATATCTACAATATAATTATGTCATCTAATTATTTTCACAAATTTCGTAATATCTTCCAAAAATCGAATTGGTTACATGATTCTCGAAAAGTGTTTTCTAAAATTATGTACAGTCAATCATCAAGCATATAATCCTTTCTATTAATTATCTGGAGATAATAATTCAAATAATACTTTAAATGTATTAGAATATAGGAAAGATTACTAGTAAGAGAAAAGAGAAAGAGAGAGAGAGAGGGAGAGAGAGAGAGAGACAGAGAGAAAGAGAGAGAGAGAGAATATCGTTCGTCTAGCAAGAACTGAGTTCGACGCTCGCCAAAGAGACCGCAGAATCTGTGCTGGCCTCTCTACGAGGACGTTCCGGGAAACTTTGTTACATTTTTGGTCAAGTCCACATACGCGATACACGAGTAAGTGGATCAAAGGGATACAGGAGAATTCCGAGATGACAGAAAAGAGAGAAAGAAAAGATCATACCAGAAATTGGCAGACTTTCCTATTGCTCTATCTTTGAGTGCTATCGTTGAGCTTTCTTTCGATGCTACGATGGAAAAACCTTTTCAAAAGTTCTTCGGGATATGATGAACAAAGAAAATATAGAGCGAAGTGTGGCTAGTAGATGAAAAAGATATGGTGAAAAAGTAGATCGGAAAGAAGTAGAATCGGTAAAGCGAAATATTCAGCATCTAAGTTATGAGAATTGTGTGTGATAAACGCGACGATGACATATATTCCTTATGGGAAAAGCAAATTGTGCGCTACGTCTAGAGACTGAAGAAAGTAGAAAATAAGAAAGACAGAAAGTGAGAAAGAAGGAGAGAAAAACAAAGAAAAAAGCGAGAGGCTTCTAAATCACTTAATGTTATTCTACTAAAATCATGTTTAAAACAAAGATTGCCACTGGCAAATTAAGAATGATATTTTAATACTCGACCTAATTGTATTAAATTAAGGAGAATGAAAAATAAAATGAACAACAAAGAAAAATATATATGAAATATATATGATTTGATATAATGTATGAATTAAATTAAATCGAACGAAAGAAGTGACCATGACTTTCGAGGAGTGGCCTTTTATTTCATCATCGGTTTTAAGTAACGCAGAGTATATATTTTAGAAGTATTTAAAACTACTTACATATGTGAAAAAAGCATGCTATAAATGCCGTAAGATATTTTTGTGTCATAATTTTATATAATGTAAAGAAAAGTTAATTACATGTAATTACATGTTTACAAAATTATTCGAAATTGATGATAATAATAATTGTGTGTTGTATAATGTAATTAACATAATTGTTATATGAAATAGTAACAAGTATTTCACAAAATATTAAATATAACAATAATACTAACATAATATATATAACAAATTAAATCGGTATATATATCTCGTAATGAATACCGTATATTTTAAGTACAAAAGTATAGCGCATTCACTTAATTTATAATCATTTAGATCAAGAAAATGGTATACATGTATTATCGGTATACATATGTACTATATATATATATATATATATAGATTATATGTTAAAGAATTATAGCACATAATATGTTCCCAATAATTATACGAAAATTAGTACTATAAATTATTCGAAAGTATAACTAAATTATGTCTTTTTGTAAAATACATTGTACTTTACTTAATAACATTCATCTTGGGAATTTTTATTTTGATTATCAAAAGATATAATAAGAAATGAGATAGCATGAACAGATAATAGATACACATCTATGTATATGTTTTATCTAACAAATTTCAAAAGGTAAATTCTCTAAGTTTTGCGAATTACATCATTAGTTTTGCAAACTAAACTTTCACCCGAAGTTAAATCCTGAGTTTTATCAACTTTCTTCTCAGCGGAAACTGAATTCTCAATTTTGCAAATTATATTTCCAGTGGGAATTAAATTCTCAGTCTTACAAACAGCTGTATTTGTTGAAGTGTTCGATGTTTCGCGATGCGTCCATTGGTGATTTTCTAGTGTGAGAATGCTTCTGAAATATTTACCGCATTTCACGCAGTAAAGATTACACTTCTCGTGACTCTTTCGGTGCTTGTTGAGCAGATCCTTGCGAGTAAAGGTCTTGTTGCAGATCGAACAGGAGAACTTGTCAGGATTCACATGCAACACGTTATGCCTCGTCAAGTTGTCCAACCTCGTGTACTTCTTGGTACAAATGTCACAGGTGAACTTGGTCCTCTCAGAGTGACATCTCTGATGATACTTCAGATATCTCTTCTCGGCGAAAGTCTTTTTACAGGCGCAGCAGACGATCTGGTTGTTATCGTTCTTTTTCACGTCCATATGACTTGTCAATTCCTCGCACGTCATAAATTCTTCCTTGCAGAAAAGACAGATAAACTTCTTCGACTGCTTATTCCTCTGCATATTTTTAAAAAAGTCTGGATCGGTCATGATCTTGTAGAGAAAAGAATCTTTTAATTTATCTTCTGGCTCGGTGGAGGTACCTGATGCAACATCATCACGATTGGAAGTATCCTTTGTTGATAGATTCATGACCTCTATGTTATTGCTATCATCATTAGTGAGCGATATATCGGTGGATGAAGACAAAGTCACTTTATTGTTCAAGCTAGTGGATGTCATAATTGGAATCAGAATGTTTGAAGATGATGCGCACGTCTGTTAAATACAATATATTTATTTTAATATTTAAAAAATTAAATAAACATGCAGTATTAAACAAAATTATACTCTATATTTCTATAATTATGTGCACACAAAATGCACGTGAAAATTTTGGCAGATATATTTTTCTAATAATTACTGAAAGAGATACTTTATAATCAAAGACATACTTTATTAATCTGTATTTAATTATTTATACGTTAATTATATATTTCTTATTGTATATTTCGGATAAATTCATAATTATACAAAATATGGTGAAGACTCGTGAAAATTATAACACAAATATTAAATAATAACTATTCATACTTACCTGATTTGATTCTTGGCTATCTATTGCATCCGTTGACTCATAATCTTTTTCGGCATCCACACTTTCCTCATCAGAAAGATTCTCTGTTGCAGATGCAATCTTAATTCTACTTTGGAATATTCTATGTCTTGGAACTGTCTTAATTCTCATATTTATACTGTAACAATCGCAAATGATGAGAATAATTTGATATCGATCTAAATTGATAGTTATGCAATAAACTACTACATAAATATTAAATCTTAAGTGTGTGTATGTTTTATGAAATTGTAAAATTTTTACATTGCAAGCTAATGGAAACGTGTAATTTAGATTAGCTTATAGTAATACACTGGTATAATTAAATAACTATTTATAATAACAATAAATATGAAATGAATTTAAATAAACGTACTAAATAAAGTTAAAAAGTTTGCAAATTTGACATTATTTCAACTCGGAAATAGATGCAATAATTTATTAGTAAGATTAACAGTAACTTATACGTACTTACATTAAAAAGATGACCAATTCAAAGATGATCAGCTTCTCGTTATTTCAATTGAAAATCCAAGCGCGTAATACTTTTGGTATCTTTTCACTGTTTCATATAATCTTTGCAGCGTGATATATACTATACGAAATACCGATCACGACTGACAAGATTATCAGAACTAACTTCGAATTGGCCGTCGCTCAACCGACCTCGGTGCGACTTTGACGATCGACACGACAACAAAAGCCTTAGCGGAGTCGCGGGAATGTGAGTTTGCAAACATAGGTATAGCCTCATATTCATGGAAATAGGTTATCACGGAGGCCACTTTCTTCATAGTGTTGTGCTTTATTTCGTACAAATGCGAGTATATTTATGAAAATATATTTAATGATATTTTACACAATGTTGGCCACATTTTTTGAAATTTAAAATCCTAATAATAATAATGCATATAAATATTACATAAAAATTTAATATATAAACCATATTGTAATGAAAAAGTAAATTTACAAAAAAGTAAATTTACAAATTTATTTAATAACATTATATATAATTATAATTAAATAACAAATTACATATCTTGTACAAAATGTAATGATGAAATATGTAATGTTAATTATCTAATATAATTGACATCCCCAAATTTTTAACGGATATCGGATTTCAAATATCAATTATTAATAACTTATTTTTTCAACCATGTACATAAGTTAAATATAGATAGCCAGAAAAAGACCAAAGTGAATATTTTCTTCTTTCGGATATATTTTTATAATTCATTTTATTTGAAGAAAAAGGGAAAGAATAGTGCCGTATTATATCGACACGATGCTAAAAAAAAGGAACCGAGCAATGAATTAAAAGAGCGAGCTAAAAAAAGAAATGCGCAGGGGTCAAACATAAAATTGGCAAAAAAAATTTTCGCCGCTTGGTACGATGTATCTATAGTCATTCTTGTATAGCCCCGGTCGTTAATACGACATAAGGAGGAGCCAGGGTTAAAACGCGAGGGTGAAACGAGGATTTTTAATTGTAGTTCGTCGGATGTAACCCCGCTCGACCCGTCGGTATTGTCATACCCGGGCGGCGCTTTTCTTTATTTCCCCAGTGGCTGGATGAGGTTATACATTTTTTTAAACTACGGCAATGCCTCCGTCTTCTTATTAGCAAAGCTAATTGGAAATACAAATGGTTATTCACGGTAAGAAGGAGAAGGTTGTGCCGAAGAGTGACTGCGGGATAGCGGCAGGAGTTTGTAGATATATCTAGAGAGAGAAAGAGAGAGAGCGAGAGAAAGAAAGAAAGAGCAACCGGGGTGAAAGGGGAGGTAGTGGTACACTTCTGCGTATTAAGGTTGTATTTGCTCCGGATAATTAGGACTTTTTCCCGGCCAATTCGGATGAATAATTGATTTTGCTGCTCCCTGTGCTGCCTGTCTGGACGCGCCTGTCGTTCTTGAAACTCTTCGAATGACAATCATCCGGAGAAAAATATCTCTGCGATGAAATATTCGGATCTCTGCGATGAAATATTCAATATCTTGCACAATATTATGTGTCGAGGAGAACGCAGGATGAGAAAATGTTTTCAAATAACATGCGATAAGTTATAGCAATAATAACGATAGTTTGAATCCGTGTTTTGAAGATAAAAATTATATTGAACTAATATATTACTTTAATAAATTTTAAAAGTAGATTTTATATATATATATATGTATTTCAATAAATTTCAATATTTAATAATAAAGAAAAATAATTTTCTTATAGAAAATATTTTATTTAATTAAAACAATTTTCAAATTAATAATAAAACGTATAGAAAATTGTCAGAATAAAAATCCATTTAAAAAGAAATATATATCAGAGATGCAATATTAAATTTAATAAATATCACATTTTTTTCTCAACAAAGATATTCTCACTTTATTCTTTTGATAGATCGTGATAAGAAAAAGAGTGATCTACAAACGGTGAGTCAACGAATATTTTCCAATCTTCTTCAGTTATATTTAACGGAAGGTTTCCCGCAATTTTGTTAGCAACGTGGAAACCGTCGAACGTCTTTCACGAGACATTTTGACACCCAGTACATCACGCCCATTCCCTTCATCTAGTTATATTACGTATACAATATCTGTGTATCGAAGCTAGTTGATCCCGGTAGGTCCCCTTCCTCGACGCGAGGCCATACATCATACCACCTTCTTTATTAAACTCATATTTTTCAAAAAGTCTCACCTTCGCTATCTGGAGCGCCTCCTCTCGCTCGCAACTCGGAAATCAACCCGGGGAGAACAAAAAATTCATTTGGCATTCAAGCACAAGATGGATTTGAAAATTCTTAAATTAAAGATGATTTACGTCATCGATATGAGTCAACTAGTTTGTTATCATAAATAATGATAATAAGAAAATATAATGTCTCTTTATTTAATGAAAATTTTTACAAAAGCTGTTGATAAGCACTTAATATAATTGATGTGCAAATTGATAAAAGCCTAAATTGCAAAATTTGCAGAAGACACATTGTTCGCCTGTCAAGTAAAGTTGACAAATTTTGGACAAATTAAATTTTTCACGATGGGATAGAAGGAATATTATATACATGAGAATTGACGAGAGGAAGGCGGAGGTACTTTAACGACTCGCGTTTCCATGGTATACATCGCGCGACGAGTTCGTTGTCTCTTCGTAGCGCTGGAAAGTTAGGCCACTTTCCTTCGACGCGCGGAGGAGAGATTGGCCGTTTGGCGGGCATAAAGAAGAAAGCCACCCCCTTCAGTTTGCCTTCCAGCGCACCCTTCGCCACCTCCGCCGGTCGCCCCTCACGACCCAAAAAACCGCGGACGGTTATAAAGCATTCTTCCAGTTTATTAGACGGAGACTCGCGGGCTTCTCTTTATATTAAGCATGTGCATTATTAATGCGGTGGTATAACCGTAAAATGCTGATGAAAAAAAGTTGCCGAGCCCCGCGGGTGTTTCTTCTGGTAGCAAGGTGAAAGAAAGAACGAAGGCTCCTCCGAGATTGCTGCATGACTGACTGACTCTTCGACTCATCGGATATTATGTTGCGTGAAATTTGCGTGGATTTACAAGCTCCTTTCATCGAAAGAATTATTTGCGAAGTAACGTAAATCATTAATTGATTTTAAAATGTTAACACCTTATCAAGTCTCGTAGTAATCGACTCTTATGCAGATCTACGATACAAAGAGCAAATATCTAGAAGAATTTGACGAATCAATATCTTCAACTTGTAATCGATGAAAGATAGCATCGTGTTCGTAGGCGACAGTAGTCGAGTAGTATTTTTTGCTAGACCGTTTGAATGCGATAAGACAACGCAGCAATCTGGCACAGCACAGGAGTTATACGCATCAGGGATTTCCATGGAAATCGATGACACCCTCGACGACGTAACTTCGGACGAGAGAGAATCGTCGAATAGAATGCCCGTAACTTATCCAGATAAGGGGTTGTAAAACGATGCTGTAGCTATCTGCCAATACGGTCTGCTCACCCTTCTCGCGGGAAGGGAGTGCCTGCATCCAGGTTGCGGGTAGATATAGGGAGCAATTTCGCAGAAATTGATGCCATTTGAATATCGTCTGCGCCACGACACGCTCTTCCAAGATGGTGCCGTTCGTAAAGACGTTTACACGATTGTCGGAGATCTCTATCCGGTCCATGCGCGCTTCGTCGACAAATACTGCCGAGACACATTGGTATTATGTATATATTTCGTGAATCGTATTTCCATTGCGGGTTAGGCGTGCGGTACTTCATGAGGAGATGGAGCGACTAACGTAAACCGGTGTCTGTTACTCGATATTTGTTTCTCCTCCGGTCGCAAGTTAACTCGCGCGAAGAAATAGTAGATGTTCTTTACAATCAACATTATTCTACTATTTATACTAACTTTATCAATTATTCTAATTATATAATCTTATATTTATATTTATATAATCTTATATTTTATATAATAATTTTTCAAAATAATACCTTCAAAAGTCTGTTTTATATACACTGATTTTACATATACCAATTACATGCATACTTGGCGGAATTTCTATATATTAAGAACGAATATCCGTAGCAAGCAAAATGTGAATCTCTTACGAATCCCTATCTCGTGCACAATGAATGATAAAATTATTCCAAGTTTCATTGGATGTACTATCACGTCGTATCATTCGCCGAAATACTTCCGGATGACTTTAATCAGGGCGCACCTTACCCCTGATGTGTGATTATACTTGGCGACTTCCAGATACGTGCCGGGGTTACGTCACGTGGGTGTTACCGAAGTCTTGTTTATCAAGTGCGTCGCTAACACACAGTCGAGATATACGTATACACTCTTCTCGGTGCCCGTCAATGGCGCTTCTTAGCTTATGCATAAAGCCCCTTTCGCCCATCACCCTCACGCCCCGCCAGTTCCGTCTATCCACCTCTCGCAATCTCCTCATCTTTCACGATTTCATCCCCGCCGTTTCAACCCCTTCTTCGACCACTAGTAGCAGATCGGGGCGTCTCGCTCGCTCGCGAGTATTTCCGCCAGGATGTATCGCAAAATCTATACCGGCCTAAGGGGTGCGACGGGAGAAAGGGGGGGGGGCGAGAGTAGCAGGAGTGGGCGACGTTGGCGGAGGCCAGGGTGGTTTTCGAGAAGGGTGAGCCCCGTCACATTTCACTACAGACTAATAACTTCTGAATATTCATTTCGTGTTTCTCCTTGCCTGCTTGCGAACCCGTAAGCAAGGCTAATGCGACCTTCACAACAGAATGCTTGATGTTTGTGGAAATACATTGGACAAGAAGAATCGAAATTTCATGATTTTAATCAATTCGTTTATTACACGTAAAGTATATCGTGATGGTACAAATTTAAAGATGTATGACTTTTAATTCATATGGATTGTTCGAGGAAATAACCGTCGTGTTTCGTGTGAGATAAGTTTAAGGGTATGTACTCTCCTTCGTCGAAGCGAGAAAAACAGAGTAGCTTGGAGGCGAGGCAAAAGCGAGAGACGGTCGTCATGGTAACTATGAATTAAGTAATCAATGAATTATTATTGACATTGATGTCTTCGCCCTGCTCCACCCCCTCCTGTTACTTGCGATACTTCAGGACTCATAAAGCAGGTTGGCCTGCGTCCCTG